GATCATAAAAACATTCAAGAGTCGAAGCACGAAATGATTCGCTTGGAATACAACCTATTTTCAAACCTTTAATTGGAATCATTTCAGATGAATTTGATTTCATAAAATTTGCTTGAGTTGTACAATTTAGATACAATCCACAAGAACATCCGTCATAAATTATAGCTTGAGTAGATGCATAAGTAAGTTCAGGTGCATCTGGAGCGCCAATATATTCGAAATTTGTTGTATATGTTGACATGTAAGCATTTCCATGATTGATATTTCGAATTAAGAAGAGAAGTTGACGAAATGTAGTAGGAACATTTGATTTAGTTTGTTCGATTAAAGAATCGAGTTGATCACGAAAATTTGTTTTCGATAGAAGTTGAGTAGTAACAAACAATGAAGTACGAAACTGGTTAATAGAATTGTATACTAATGTATTAGAGAGTTCACATAATCCTTGTAGAGCTTGCAAATGAGCAGAAAGAAAACGACGATAGTCTCTTAGTGCATAAATAGACAAGTTAGAGATTAGACCAGCTATAAGTTCATTTCGGTATTGCTTTGTTGCAAATGGATTCGAACAGACCTATAAATAACAAGAAGAAATAAAAAGAGGGAAAACTCTATTCTCAATTTTCATACAAAGAGTTCACAACAAAATTCTCATAGAATAAACATCTTGTTTTTAGTCAACTATCAACATACTTATTCATGTCGGTTGTCAAGATTTATAATAGAGACGAAGAGAAGTACCGCGACTATATCAACTATCGTTTATATTTAGCAGATTAATATAATCTTATCTTACCTCATGAAATATTGGTTCAATTTCGATAAATTGATCATAAGGTGATGCAATCACTGAACATGGACACTTTAATTCATCTCCATATTTTTGTTTCGAATCATTGTAAATACTAAAAGATGGACTATTGAAAGTCTTCGTCACTACTTGTGGTTGAACTGCGCTATAAATGGTGAGAATAATGAGACCACTGATAAATAAAGCAATGTAAAGACGGGTTGCCCATCGACCAAGATGTTTAGCTGTTATCCGATCCATACCACTACCCATATCATGTAATGAGAATATGTTTAGATCGATTAAAGTGGTACGCAAAAGTTTAATCAGACTTCGCATAGTAATTCTAAATCGGCCGCACCAGTTTTGATGAACTATACACACAAAAACAAATTATATATCTTCTTCGTTGATATAAAGTTTACTATCTCTCAACCGAAAAGATGGTTAAAACAAATTTAAATTTTGCTTTATGTAAGACAACAAATATTTGAGGGTGTGAGTGTGTAGTCGTTCGATTTCATTTATACCCACACGCACACCCTACTGCGTATCTATTTTTTCATAAATATCTGATCAATGATTACCTTGGTGTTCTTGTTGTTGTTCTTGTTGCTCTTGCTTTCTTTTACGTATCAATGCCCATAATTTGAAGAGAAATTTGACAAAATAAGGAGTGATAAAACGTAGAGAAACAGCAAGACCACCGATCATGGACAACAATGTTATAAATACTTCCACAATAGTCTTCGTACGCATTTTCTTATAATAAGTACAATAAATCGGTGCACATGATTCGTAAAAGTCCTTATACGATAGAGATGGATTCCATTGTTCTACCATCATTTCTTTGATGATAGTTGATATTAAAGTATTTGGAGGAAAATGACTCCGTTCTGGGTTATAAACAAGAGGGTGCAGATCAAACATGGATCTATTTAGTTTAAGCGTCAAGTCATTATATGGTGAGTAAGTCAGTAAATTTGCAAAGCAATCTGAATCCGAATTGGGTTCTGAATGTAAACATTGAAGGGTCGATCTTAGAAGAGAATCACCAGCGAGACAGCCTCTAATAAAACCTGGTATTCTTTGAATAAGATTAACGTAGTCAATATCATGAACATGGTAGCTAAAATCGTAAACAACAGCCGCAGCTTGACAATCAGGATTAGTGGCACAAACACAGATGATCGATGTCGAATTAGTTTGAATTTCAGGCAATTTAAATAATAACTAGGAAAATAAAGAGAAACCTATGTTCTACTATCAATTAATTTTGAGCGATTAATACTTCTCTATCTTAGAAACGGAGAGTTTTTCAAGAAAAAAATTCATAAGAACATCTTTCATATGAAAAAGACTTGTGAAAAGTACAATGCGATTATATACAATGAATTATCAGTTAATATTCTGATACCATATTGTTCTGCTCTTTTAGATATGGATAAATGTGTTCTCGAAAAACGGCTTCATAGAGTTTATTTTGACTCTAGTCGTTTATCTCGATAAGCTAAATATTAAGAGTTAGATCGGATCGACTTATCATTTGATAGCTCATAGACTAACTTTTCCTAGGTTGGCTCAATCAATCCATTTAATATTATGATACCGTCATTCACTTAAATCGATTCTCATATTCAAAACGTTATGTAACATTACTTTTGTAAAACTAACTTTTTGAACTATTCTTTTAGACTGTTTTCACTAAATATTATCATATATTTGAAGTTATTATTTTGAAAAGAAGTTAGCATATATGAGAAAAGCATGTAGCAACGTATACTGTAGAATATTTATATAAAAAAAGTGTTATATGAATAATACTTCAATGAATATATCGTATATGATAATTCATTTATTAGTTATCAGCTGCCCTAGTAAGTTTTAGCTGCACACAGTTTTGCTTGCTTCTGTTGTTATATGCGCAATGTTTTCTTCTGACTGTTTGTGTCAACAAAGAATAATACACTTCTAACAAAAAGAGTAAACTTTTATAACTATATTGTTGAGTTTCTCGTCGAAGTCGATTGGGATTCGATAATCGACTATCATTTCTCAAAGGAAATCGAAGATTTTTTTTAATTTTGAATATTAACATACCGGTACTGAGTGTTGATTGCTCTTTTTATCTCCGATGTCGTTCATGATCAGATTATTCCTTTCAATAGTGTTATAACGCTTAGCGGGTATCATGTAAGGCTGATCGACCTGTATAAAAAGACGCACAACATCGTTCTGAAGATTAAAGTAAAAAATTGTCGATTCATAAAATTGCTTAAGCGTCACATTTAGTTGTGTATTGAAATCGATTTCATGGAACACAGTTGAAGTGATCAAGAACTGCGTCAAAAAGCGGTCGACAGCATCATGAATCGTTTTATTAGCGAGATAACAAAGGTCGGACAACAATCGAAACTGTGACGAAGTCGACTGAAGCCAATCATCATAATTATAGTAATTTCGGCTTGATATCCAAAATGAAATCCATTCATCAGTGATAAAAATACTTGAACATACTTGATGTAATGTTGGCGATAATAGAACGAACGAACGATACGAGATTATTTGCGTTGAACAAGGACAAGTGAGTGTAGTGGAGTGCAAAATTTGTAACTCTTTATAAGTAATATATGACGGATTTGAAATAGTTATTGTAACTGTTTGAGTACTCAATGTAGTGAAGAGCACAAGAATAATAATTGAACCTAATGAGAAAAACAAATTAGTGAACATGTTATTATAGACATGTCTTCGATAGAAGGATCTTAAAAAGAACTAAGCAATAGAAATTTATCATTTATTAATAATAAAAGATATTAAATGAGAGATTTGAGAAGTTCACTAACATAGATTTCAATATCTTCTAGAAGAATCACTAGTGTTATACATGAAAGATACATTTAATTCTCGTAATCTCATTGAGAAAATCAAATATTAAATTAATCAATATTTGTAGTTCAAATGTTCAACTATTGATAAGAGAAATAGCCTATGTATGTATTCAGCAAAAACTAAAGTTATGTACAGTAAAATATAACTATACCAGTTAGTAAAATCACATAGACATATGTGGTAATCTTTTGTTGTTTAATACTGTTTTCTGTTCGATCATTGGCCTTCTTAAATAAATTTAATCGTTTCATCGATTGAGTAAATCTACTCCAACTTATGTTTTGACGCACTATGAATTAAATATAAATTTTATTTATCATGAGGTATTTTTTTATTTATTTTAAAACATACCGAAATTGAAATTTCTGTTTCTTAAACGATGTCTCATTTTTGATGAGGTATTTACTATAAACGATGTCGTTAAACGAAGTATCATAACGAGACCACCATAGAGACTAATGAAAAGAGTGGTTGCATAAATAAATTTAGCTCGATGTGTCGTCGTATATGTGCAGAATGAGGGATGACATTGATCAAAATACTTTGAATAATCTGTTTTTGGTGACCATTCTTCAATCAAGAGATTATTCAAATAATCCTTAAAAGAAAGATTTTGTTGTTTCGAAATTAGAGTAGAATTGGTCCAATTGATGTGCAACTAAATAAAATGAATATATATGAAAATTAAGATAGTCTGGTACATACATGGTTCAAACGTGGAAAATAATCGAGCAATAGTTCCAGACATTTGATTTCATACAAACAATCGAATGTACTTTGAAGAAGAGCTTCAAGAGGAGTACATCCTGCGAAGAATCCATTGACAATTGTAGAATTTGGCAGATATTCAAAGTTAAATCTTTGAAAGACAGGCTCAGATTCATTTATTACTGGATTAAGAGTAGCCGTAATAATTGGATTATGTTCGCCACAGTTCGATGTGTTTCCAGATGCAGGAGTGTACGCCGTTGAATATATATATAAATATTGATCCGCGATAAAATGCGGTTTTAGTGTAACTATTAAATTCGTATTAAGAGCTGAAATTAAATAGTTTCCTCGAATAGTTGACCGAAAATACTCCAAGAACATAATCATTCGAGCAGATGCACTTTTCTTAAAAGATTCAATGATGACATTCAGTTCGTATTGAACTTGTATATCAGGAAGAAGATAAATAGTAACAAATTCATTACTACCAACATCATTTTCAGTATGATTAACTATGTCTTGAGCCAATGAACAAAAACTGGACAGAATTTCAAACTAAATAGAAACAAAATTAATCTTGAGAGTGGATGTGTGTGTGCCTGAATTCATCTTTTCTGGACACAGTATTTAGCTTTTTCATCTGCAGTATTTCTTATTTTTGAATGAGATAAATTCTTTCGTTTGTCCTCATATGATATAAATCAATTCTGAAACTAGAATATTAAATCTCTTATGAAAAACTGCGACAATCAACTCAATGTTATTTTTTCAGAAAAACCTAGCAATTTACCTGAGAACTAGCTGTTGCTCGAAAATCCGATCCTCTATATCGACTTGCATTTGATAAATATAATGCATGAATCCATTCTTGACTAGCGAAACGACTTGAACAAACAGGATGAAGTTTGATTCTATTGGAAACAAAATTTTTATAAGATATGCTGGTTGTTGAGCATGGACATGAAAGAGTTTTATTATATTTAGAGTAAAGTTCATTGAATTTGACAGGTGTAATATCAGAGACAGTAACTGTTGAAGATTCTATCTTCATCAAAGTAGCGTAGAAAATAATATATAAAGCCACTAAAATAAATTAGAAAAATTATGCAACTTCTTATATTTAATATTGACATTTATCCTTAAATACAATTAAAAAATGTGTCATACTATTTTTCTTCAGTCATTTCAGAAAAAGGTCAATTACATAAAAATGATATTTAACATTTCCTACGACTCTAAATAGTATAATTTTAGATATCTTTCATTCTCAATTTGTTCATATTTAAGACTAAGAAAAATAATAAATTTCAACTAACATCTAGTTCATTTATATTTGTTAATGTACTCTAAACATTCCTGATAATCGTATTGACTGTTCTGCTTTAGCTTTCGACTTTAATTATTTCAGACATAAAGATCGAACCTTTTTAGTAAAAAGTGATATCTTCGGGATATATAATAACATTTCCATAGAGAAACTTTCAGAATAATACTTAGGAAGACGTGAATCTATGTGTATGCGTGTATATATTCTCAACAATATCAGAGAAAATATCTGAGTTCTGCTTTTTAAACAGGTTTTTTCATAAATTTGCCTGAAATTGGTGACCATGGAAAATGTACTATACATTAATATGCTTCAAGTAATTCGAATAAGTTTTTAGAAAAGGAAGTAGAAGATCAGTCATCAATTCAAACATAAATATACGTTCAAAAAACAAAAAACCTGTGTGTGACTTACCCACGAGTAGAAGAACGTACAACCAAGTTTTATATTTTTGATGTTTAAGAACAATTGCTGGATCTTGTACTTCATCATTGTCATCATACTCATCTTCTTCGAGCATAAAGAGATTATAATCGAATATTTTTCGAATAAACCAATGAAACAAAGACTTGAGATTCATCTTTCAAAGAATCAACCTTTTGAAAAGTGTAATATTTGTTTCTGATTACTTCAAAAGTCACAGGAATAGTTTACTATAAAAATGAAAAATTTATTATGCAAAGCCGTCATTAACGAATAAGTAGCAAAATAAATAAATAACTAAAAATATTTGTATGATTAACCAAAGACAGATATTCTCGAACAGTGAAATATATGCTGAGCCAGATATCAGGGTGTGGGTGTGGGTGAGCATGGGTATAGGTGTGGGTGTCGGTATGAGTGAGCGTGGGTATCGGTTTGATTGAGCTTGGGTATGGTTGTGGGTGTAGGTGTAAGTGTGGGTGTTGTTATGATTGAGCTTGGGTGTCGGTATGAATGAGCGTGGGTGTCGGTATTATTGAGCCTGGGTGTGGGTGAACTTGGATGCGGGCAAGCGTGGGTGTGGGTGTGGGTATGATTGAGCTTGGGTGCCGGTATCAATGAGCGTGGGTGTGGATGTGGGTGTCGGTATTATTGAGCCTGGGTGTGGGTGTCGATATGATTAAGCGTGGGTGTGGATGTTGGTATGATTGAGCTTGGGAGTCGGTATCAATGAGCGTGGGTGTGGGTGAGCGTGGGTGTGATTATTGTATTTATCTTATACTCACAGCTACACCCAGTTTGAATTTGGGTTAGAGATCCAGATTTGACTAACAGTTCATGTTTCAGTTTGCGCGCGCTATAAACACATATGACGCGTAAAAGTCTTTTTCTGCTTGCGTTTTTATATGTGGAAGTTATTAATTGTAGATATAAATGAGAACTGAAAATATGTCCAAGCTAGGGATGTATCGAGCCCGAGCCCTGACTGAGCCTCTCGGCCTCGGGCTTGGGCTT